AAAATGATATTAATTGTGTAGTTATGTAAAAACAACAATGTATGCTGCAAAGGTAAACAGCTCAACCACTTATACTGCCGTCACTTCATCTAAACTTGAAACTGAAAATCTACGCAGAAATATAATGTACCGTTCAGATTGGACAATACTTACAGAGTGAAGTTTTTACTTGTGAAGATATAATGTTTCGTTTATCTTCACTGCATTAAATATATGTTTTTATTAAATAGAGAATTCATGATATTTTACAAGTAAACTGCAATCAATACCGATACGGTAGGGTTTACCAACATATTTTTGTAGACAGTATGCGACCTTAATTTCCCAGAAGGCTTTCACGCATAGGGAAGCACCGGAAGTGGACAAAGTGTTTACAGATCAAACCCCGGCGGCGCTTTGCGCCGCTTGGGGGTTTGAAAAAATGTTTATGATATTCCCCCGAAAGCCATGCAACAGGCTGCAATGATCAAAAGGTCGTTGATGAGTTCGTAGACATACTCCTAAGGCGTGTTAAGACAGGCTGTAATGGTCGTTGATGAGTTCGTAGACATACCTCTATGGCGTGTTAAGACAGGCTGTAATGGTCGTTGATGAGGTAGTATACATACTCCTATGGCGTGTTAAGACAGGCTGTAGTGGTCGTTGAAGAGCTCGTTGTCATAGTCCTATCGCGTGTTTAGACAGGCTGTAATAGTCGTTAATGAGCTCGTAGACATACTCCTATGGCGTGTTAAGACAGGCTGTAATGGTCGTTGATGAGTTCGTAGACATATTTCTATGGCGTGTTAAGACAGGCTGTAATGGCCGTTGATGAGCTCGTAGACCTACTCCTATGACGTGTTAAGACAGGCTGTAATGGTCCTTGATGAGTTCGTAGACATATTCCTATGGCGTGTGAAGACAGGCTGTAATGGCCGTTGATTAGCTCGTAGACATACTCCTATGACGTGTTAAGACAGGCTGTAGTGGTCGTTGATGAGCTCGTAGACATACTCCTATGACGTTTTAAGACAGGCTGTAATGGTCGTTGATGAGCTCGTAGACATACTCCTATGACGTTTTAAGACAGGCTGTAATGGTCGTTGATGAGCTCGTAGCCATACTCCTATGGCGTGTTAAGACAGGCTGTAATGGTCGTTGATGTGCTCGTATGCATATTCCTATGGCGTGTTAAGACAGGCTGTAATGGTCGTTGATGAGTTCGTAAACATATTTCTATGGCGTGTTAAGACAGGCTGTAATGGTCGTTAATGAGTTCGTAGACATACTCCTATGGCGTGTTAAGACAGGTTGTAATGGTCGGTAATGAGTTCGTAGACATACTCCTATGGCGTGTTAAGACATGCTGTTATGGTCGTTGATGAGCTCGTAGACATACTCCTATGGCGTGTTAAGACAGGCTGTAATGGTCGTTGATGAGTTCGTAAACATATTTCTATGGCGTGTTAAGACAGGCTGTTATGGTCGTGAAGAATTCGGAGACATATTCCTATGGCGTGTTAAGACAGGCTGAAATGGTCGTTGATGAGTTCGTAGACATATACTCCTACAATTGTATGACGTGTTAAGACAGGCTGTTATGGTCGTGATGAATTCGTAGACATTCTCCTATGGCGTGTTAAGACAGGCTGTTATGTTCGTGATGAATTCGTAGACATACTCCTATGGCGTGTTAAGACAGGCTGTAATCGTCGTTAATGAGCTCGTATGCATATTCCTATGGCGTGTTAAGACAGGCTGTAATGGCCGTTGATGAGCTCGTAGACATACACCTATGACGTGTTAAGACAGGCTGTAATGGTCGTTGATGAGCTCGTACACATACTCTTATGGCGTGTTAAGACAGGCTGTAATGGCCGGTGATGAGCTCGTAGACATACTCCTATGACGTGTTAAGACAGGCTGTAGTGGTCGTTTATGAGTTCGTAGACATACTCCTATGGCGTGTTAAGACAGGTTGTAATGGTCGGTAATGAGTTCGTAGACATACTCCTATGGCGTGTTAAGACAGGCTGTAATGGTCGTTGATGAGCTCGTAGACATACTCCTATGGCGTGTTAAGACAGGCTGTTATGGTCGTGATGAATTCGTAGACATATTCCTATGGCGTGTTAAGACAGGCTGTAATGGCCGTTGATGAGCTCGTAGACATACTCCTATGACGTGTTAAGACAGGCTGTAGGGGTCGTTTATGAGTTCGTAGACATACTCCTATGACGTGTTAAGACAGGCTGTAGGGGTCGTTTATGAGTTCGTAGACATACTCCTATGGCGTGTTAAGACAGGCTGTTATGGTCGTTGATGAGTTCGTAGACATATACTCCTACAATTGTATGGCGTGTTAAGACAGGCTGTAATGGTTGTTGGTGAGCTCGTAGACATACTCCTATGGCGTGTTAAGACAGGTTGTAATGGTTGTTGATGAGTTTGTAGACATATTCTTATGGCGTGTTAAGACAGGCTGTTATGGTCGATATTGACCTCGTAGACATATTCTTATGGCGTGTTAAGACAGGCTGTAGCCCTGTTATTTTTGTTGAAATGTTTTGACATAATGTCAAATGTTTCAAGTAGTTTTGTCTTCATTAATCTGACGCAAAAATCAGATAAAGTGTAGATAAAGTGACGACTAAGTGACGACAAAACGATGACACGATGTATAAAGTAATAGAAACTGTTAGTTTATCCTTATTAAGTATGTTTTATGTCTGTTTGTATGATATTTTGAAATGGCAGTTATAGCACGTTGATAATAATAATAATAGTCTTTATTTAAACTTGGCTACATATTGAGTCAAAGACTCGTCTCCCATATGGTCAAGCATATTAAAAAATGTGCATTATATACAACATAATATTGATAACGTTGATAGTAATTATTCCCTTGTACTACACAGAATCCAGCTGGAAAATCAACACCCATCGATGTTGAAGGCAAAGTCAACAACTCTCAGGTATCGGAGGACTTTCACAGTAAGATAACTCATATAAACCTTCTAGAACCGGAATGATAATAAATAATAGAAAAAAAGTATTGCGTTCCCAAGAGATGTAATTGCGGAAGATGTTGAACCTCATTAACACTTAAATAGAAGCATTGTCTGTTGTTTTCGATATCCAGGTATGTTCTAAAAGATATACGGAAACATACTTAAGTTTATTAAGCATTATACGCGTATCTTTACTACTATTTCTCCCACCTTTTACAGTTGTGTCTCCCGTTTTTGCCGGGAAAGATTAACTTGTCATTCCCTAGAAGGAGGTAGCCTCGTGCCGATTAGCACGTATTCAATTGTGATGTCATTAAAATATGTCACAAGTAATTGTGACGTCATCAAAGGTGAATGACGATATCCATAACCTACATTTGTTTTTGTATACAAACATGGTAGTCTACTGTCGGTGGAGTTGTGACTGAAATAAAAGCATGGGAGAGAAATCTTCATCCCCTACCATGAGGGTGTAACAGAGAATTATCTTACCTTGGACAGGTGTTTCCGCACTTTAACCGGTTTGAAATTTCCTTGTCTCACCCTAGGGTTGAGACGGGGGGATTCCCCTATTCATAACAATGGTATGACGTTACTTCAACAATACAATTACGTCACGTCAACAATCCATCAACGTCACGTCTACCCTGAATTTAGCGTGTAATGTTATCATTACATTGTGAATATGATACACAATGGGAGAACAGGGTAAAAGAAAAAGAATCATTCACCTCCGTGTGGGTGAGATAGTGGAATCTCAACCCTCGGGTTGAGATTCCCCTATCTCACCCCCAAGGGGATGAGAGATTCTATTAATAAAAATCTCTCTGAAATCTCTGAAATTAATCTCACACAGGTGAAAGTGCGGATACTGCTGTCCAGGGTAAGAGAATTAATAGAATCTTCCCCTACCTTGAGGGTGTGACAGAGAATCTCCTACCCGAGAGGTGATTTTTTTTGTGTTGTCTAACCCAAAGCTCTGCCGAGGGTTAGACAATAAACACAAATCACCCCGAGGGTTGAAAATTTCTCTGTTACAAAAACAAAGTTTATTTTGTATTGACAAGGAAATTATGATTAGTATCTTTGATTATACTTTCGGCATCAAATATGTACTTAACTTTATCATTTAAATATAGACAATGAAATAAGATCTAAAAGATGAGTGCCAGAATATTGAAATGATAGACATGAAGAGACAAATCGTTTGTTAAACTCTTACCCAAAGTTGCAATTACATGCAACAGAAGACGACGTGTCATGTTAACGTTACTATTAAGGAAGAACACCTTTGAAATAAATAATAAGAACACATGACATTTTACATTGATGTCAAGAATATGCATTTAGGTCATTCATAGTGACTTTCTTTTTCAGAAAAAAAGAAGCACAAATGCATCAAAGGAAAATTACCAATCCTATTGTCTGTGATATTTGTTTTGGGTGTTGCAGTTGGCACGTATTTTGTAGGTAAGTTGACAAGTTAACATTTTAATGAATACTTACATTAGAGTGAACCCGAAAAGACATAAATTGACCTGCATAAATGTAACACTAAATAGTTAAAGTGTCAGAACATGAATTGTTTTAAGATGAATCATGAGTAAGCACTGGCAAGCATGAATGGAGTAGAAATATAGGTAAATGCTAGCTTAATAGAGATGCAACGAGCTAAATCAAATGTGGATCTGAACAGTTATGTATTTTCATTTTTTAGACATTATTAATACAGACATACAATACTTTACTTACAGTAGTGTCAACGGGAGACAATGAAGACGGTAAGTTTCTATTACAAGTTAATTGAAATGTTATATTTTATAATAAGATGTAAAACGCGGGTGTCCTGAATGCATCACATATATGAAACTGTTTCAACTCTTCTCCCAATTGAAAACTCACATACTTTATTCTTGATATCGAAGTCGTAACAATTTTGAAGACCTTCGTGCACGTGGTACATATTAGGCAGCTGACAATGCTGTTAAGAACGTGATCTTTTTCTGCAACGGCGATTATTATACAGCTTGCTGAATGATTGACTGTACCTCCCGTTTTGTTTAAACATTAGTTTAGATCATTTCGGATGTCCAACTTTTGTGCCCCTAGCACCAAAGATGTGCCTTATAAGAACGAAACAAATTTACGATGCAGTGTAATTCATCGTTTGAATACTGTATCTTGTGTGTGTTTCCCTTGTTTTTGACGTTATTATTTTTCATTTTGCGAAATTTGTTACGACAATTTTTTTTATTAAGAATAATGTAGTGCAAGAATATTTTTGCACTGCGACAATGTTACATCGGCCCGATGTCGAAACTTTAAGAATGTATCTATTGTGGAATCCTGTAGAACAAGGTCGTTGTAAATCATATATAATTGGGTCGATGTGAACACACAAACATACTAGGCTGGCGAACAGACATATATACTCATCAGTGTAGAAGTTTGTACAGAAGTAGATCAGCGGTAAAGTATATTCAACCAGGTCGATATTGGATTATATTAACCCTGACAAGCGTGTTAATATATTTGTTAGTGTTCCCTTATAATACGTTTGGAAAGTTTTCTGGCTTGTATATATACAGGTTGTGAGAAATATATTGGAAGAGGCGAGCCAAAAAAATGGACATTACAAAGCATAAATGAATAATTCACGCAGCAGTAAAACACCAAAAACTGTATCACGCCAGTGTCGATTTCATGTTTTTCCCCAGTTTAATTACCGGTGCATGTCTAACGACAGTTACATAATTACCAAATGCTACTGTTTTGCATTTGACCTGACATTTTGGGGTTGGGTTTTAGAGGAAATGTTTAATGCGTCAACTTGTCTAGGGTCACATTGATAACGTTGTCACATGTCCTTTAATGACCTGAAGTTTGCATTTAAATTCAATATTCCAATTCATTGGCTTGATTTGTAATTAACGTGTGTATTCTATGTATTATGTATATACATCTCTTTCTCACCCCAACGTGTATAGGATGCATGTGACAAATGTCACCATTCATGTGAAATAACTCTGTTCCATTGTTCCACAAAGGCTAGTCTCGTTCAACCAGACGCTTGATCACTTGTTATTCAAGAGTCTCTTTATTCGGCGTAGCTTGCGCAGGCAACAAGAGTCTGGTTGAACGAGACTACACAACGACGTGCCAAATGACCTCACGTGATTTTATCCTAAATCGTGAATAGCGAGAGCAGAAAGTGATTCGTTTGAGCGCAAAATATTCAGCACTATATTTATTAACGTTTGGAAGCGTGAAGTAATTTTAGATGAATACGTGACTTCATCAAATTTAACCGTTGGTCAGGGGAACATATTTATCGTAAGAACCTTTTTAGCAACTGACAATAGCTATTGAGTATAAATAATAATTAACCAAATTTATCGTGAAATCTTTCCATACTGATTAAGTTTCAGTGTTTACTAACGGTATATTATACTTGCCCCAGCTCTTCCCTAATTAGTATTTGGTTCAGGTATACTTTATTTACAAGTAGCACTCTTACTATATCTGTTGAAATAGTTAACATAATGTAGGTTTCGGGATAAGGAATCTCTTCCCTAGGTGGCAGAATTTGGGTAAATCTTGGTTCTAACTTCTTCATTCTTCTCTTGTAGATTTTTCATATCCTGCATACCTACAAAAAATAGATTCTAACTAACATAAGTAAAATAATACAATGTCGTTCTTTCACATTTTGTCAGATATGAATAGCTTTTCTACAAAGTCACAACGAAATAAGACATCTAGCGCTGTTCAATCCAATAAAGTGTCAGATGTTTCCTCAGTTATAACAGCAGGTTTGGACGAGAGCAGCGATAAAGAGATAAATGGAACCGGGTTCAGTAAGTACAATGTAAAATGTAGCATATTGTCGCCTTAACCATCAGCATTGTAAAGACATTCAACACGAATCCAGTGTGATCATGTTTGCAATTCATATACCATTCTATATTTGTTATCAGTAAATTTGCACATGGTTTAATACCATTATAAATATTGGTTTGATGTTGAGCAATTCATATACCATTCTATATTTGTTATCAGTAAATTATTAAATAAGGTCGGACCAAGTAATCTCAAAGCCTCACAAGGCCTGCATAAACATTTGCAGGTCCGCCAGGATTTATACCCGAAAATGTTCTATTTAAAAATGGACAACCCGGTTGTTCCGCATAAACGAAAAGGTCTACAGAAATTAAACGTACCCCAAGGTAAAAATCTGCTTTAATGTAATTTGTGCATGTTGGCATATCCGTTTAGTAATCTTCTGTTGATATAGACATTGTACCGTATCCCTTTAGCGTTTTACAATCAATATATACACTTTTTATCCAGGGACGGTCGTTTTAATGTATATGATGCAAAATGTGAAAAGGTGATAAGTAGTATAATGTGTTTTATTAAGTTTTGTTCAATAATAATTAAAGAAAAAGTCGACTGATTTTTGTTTATTTTACAGAGACGGACCCTATTTGCCGAGATTTTTTGAAGTCATCTGTATTTGTGTTTGATTGCTACCATCAAAGAGCATTCAATGCCTTACCTATAAACAGTACAGTCAAATGTTCGTAAGTATGTCCAAAATTGTATTTTCAAAAATGGAATTTAATTTACATATCTATATATTTACATTTCTGCTACAAGTTTCTCTATAAGTTTTACAAAAAGAAATTACGTTCATAGGTCTATGAACACAGTTAGATCAATGTCATTTTAAAGTTTCTCCTCCCGTCACGATTAACATGAGATAACTGTTACAAGTTTCTTTATAAGTTTTACAAAAAGAAATTGCGTTCATAGGTCTATGAGCACAGTTAGATCAGTGTCATTTTTAAGTGTCCCCTCCCGCCACGATTAACATGAGATAACCGTTAAAAGCAAACATTTTGGAAATGTTAGGTTGTTCCTGGAATTTGGTTTGCACTGACGACACAGACCCGTCAATATGTGTGCCTAATGTAGCCGATTGACGTTCATACAAGCATGCAATTGAGAAAATGCCTTTCAGTCGTTATATATTTTCTCTTTTTTTCCAGCTCACAAACTTTTCAAACTCATTCCTAATGTTTTGAAGGAAAATGAAATACCAAGATAATGGTATGTCTGTGGGCGTTCTTTAAATGATCAGTCAACGAAAGATATTTTAAACATTTGTTTGGTCAAATGTATGAATGTTTGCTCAATTACCAAAAATTATATTTTCTTACAAGTTATGAAAATTCTGTTTCTTTAAATAATACTTCATTATCAGAAAAAGAAAACTAATGTTACTCCTACCTCTTATTTCAAAACCCGATTTCCACAATTTAACTTGTAAGATGACCTAAAAAGTAATAAGTAACAGTTTTACACTTTATATTGAAGATATGAAACGTATTTAATTCCCACCACAACTAATGCTATTTCAAATTGTGTTATTACATGATGTTATTTCAAATTGTGATATCATGACAACTATTTTTCATGTGGTGTCAAAAAGTGAAATTATGCCATTTTACAGAGTACAAGTGATACACAAGGTTGCAGATTTTCAAAATGGTTGTATTTATTTTTCATTTTTAAAATATTTTATCAAGACAGTTCTACAAACAAAAAATATATCTAGTTTTCAGATGCAGGCGTTCTTTTAAATCTGATCATTATTTGTTACATTTATATAAACCTTCACTCAAATTAGAACGATATAATGAAACATATATCCCTGGTGCACCCGATAGCGCTTTACTGATTTTATTTGTTATATCTTGTAAAGTTAAATATGCATTGCTCGGGTTACCATTTTTGTAAACTTGAATTTTGACATTTTGTATATAACTTTGTGTAACTTGATCACTATGTGTTAACTGAAATAGACATTTTGTATATAACTTTGTGTAACTTGATCACTATGTGTTAACTGAAATAGACATTTTGTATATAACTTTGTGTAACTTGATCACTATGTGTTAACTGAAATAGACATTTTGTATATAACTTTGTGTAACTTGATCACTATGTGTTAACTGAAATAGACATTTTGTATATAACTTTGTGTAACTTGATCACTATGTGTTAACTGAAATAGACATTTTGTATATAACTTTGTGTAACTTGATCACTATGTGTTAACTGAAATAGACATTTTGTATATAACTTTGTGTAACTTTATCACTATATGTTACCTGAAATAGACATTTTGTATATAACTTTGTGCAACTTGATCACTATGTGTTAACTGAAATAGACATTTTGTATATAACTTTGTGTAACTTGATCACTATGTGTTAACTGAAATAGACATTTTGTATATAACTTTGTGTAACTTGATCACTATATGTTACCTGAAATAAACAGTTTGTATATAACTTTGTGTAACATGATAACTATATGTTACCTGAAATAGACATTTTGTATATAACTTTGTGCAACTTGATTACTATGTGTTAACTGAAACAGACATTTTGTATATAACTGTGTGTAACTTGGTTACTATGTGTTAACTGAAATAGACATTTTGTATATATAACTTTGTGTAACTTGATCACTATGTGTTAACTGAAATAGACATTTTGTATATAACTTTGTGCAACTTGATTACTATGTGTTAACTGAAACAGACATTTTGTATATAACTTTGTGTAACTTGATCACTATGTGTTGTTAACTGAAATAGACATTTTGTATATAACATTGTGTAACCTGAATACTATGTGTTAATTTGAATGGACATTTGTATATAACTTTGTGTAACTTGGTTTCTTTTTTAACTTGAATAGAGAGTTTGTATATAACTTTGTGTAACTTGAATACTATGTGTTAACTTGAATAGACATTGTGTATATAACTTTGTGTAACTTGCAATTACTATATGTTAACTCGATTTAAGCATAATGACACCATGATGTTATTGTGTTAGATTACCTGCCTTTCTCTTGCACGAATGTGAGTGTTTTGGTGCACTGGGTTCGTCCCTCTCACATCATGAAGCCTCACACACATGTATGGTATATTCCGTCTTTGCGTATTGCAGAGTTATCTGCTCTTGGGAGCAGGTATTGATTGTTACGTCTTTGGTTTGTGCGAAAAAATTACGTCGTTTTCTCAAAAATTGATGACGTTACTCTGTCAAACAAGTGACGTAACAATCAATACCTGCTCCCAAGAGAAGATACCCCTGCAATACGCAAAGACGGAATACGTAATCTGTAATAACGGACATAACATGTACCACGATTAAACGCGTAAAGTTCATAAAGTACACAAGTAATTATGACGTCATTATGGACGACATACGACTCATATAACACAAAGTATCACAAAGTATCAACTCTTTTGGGGGGAAAATGTATTTATAATAGCATTGCTTTTTCCTTAGGTATCTGAACAGAGTTGGTTTGTGTATACAAGACCTATTGGAGAATGAATACGGAGTTGATTGTGACAGACTAGATCAGTTGTACCTCCTCAATTTAAATGCAGAAGTCCTTAAGGAGAGAAGCAACTTCGATGCCAAAACGGAATGTGAGTAACCTGGTTTAAATTCAGTTAAGCATACATTTTGCACAAAGTTACAACACAGAATATTTCAAAGAGATAACACCAACTCATCGATAGTTTCATGATATTCTTGTAAGCAAACTTGCATAATCCCTTTTACATCGATTCAAATACAATGACGTTTTTGACAAACTGTTCAATAGCAAAGATTAATAAAATAATATTAACTGTTTGCCTTCCGTATCTACATTTGTTGAAGGGACATAATTCCTTTCCACTGTTTTAAGTGATCAGTGTAATGGTAACATGTGTGTGTCTGTGTGTATGTGTGGTGGAGGTTCGGGGTTGGGTTGGGTGTTGCAGGTTTTAAATTTTGTTTCCTATGGCATAGCCTTAAAATGACTGTTGACACATTCTATTACTTTTAAGGAATGATTACCTTATATCTGCATTCTATTTTAGGTGGAGAATGGTATACATTTTACACAAAAGCAACTAACAGAACCCTGGTATGAATCAAACGGAAAGACTGGATGTCTCGTTTTAGTTGATGTAGTTCATGTATATATATTTATAGATTGCCTAAAATACATCATAGAATTCAAATGTTTAACATAACGATGCGTTAAGTTAACAAGTAAAAGTGTTATCTCGATCAGATGTTTTTTTGTATAAATAATATAACTAATTGTCCGTCTAAATGAACATTGTCCTACATGTATCACAACAAGCTGCATCGTTACTAGTATGTATCCATTTGTTGAAGTAATTTTGCGATTGGTTTCTATTAAAACCAATGTTAAAAGCTATGTTTTGGTTTGCGTTTTCATTTACTCACTTTGCAGTTGTCTCGGTGATACTATATATATAATTCTGTTATATACGTATGTCCACAAGCAACTGCGCACTATCAAAACAAATAGAAAAAGAAAATATTGCAAATTTGTAGTACCAATAAAAGAAACAATGTACCGTTAAGAATCACTGTCCGGCTGCACTGTGGCTTCTCAATACAATTTCAAGGAATTCGCAGGAGCTGCCTTATTATGCGCTAACTACAACTCCTATGCCACCTGTCTAATATCTCCCTATGTGTGTATGCCTGTGGTGTGCCGGTTATGTAATGTGTTCTGTTTGTAGTGGGACCGTGCTTCCAACGGCATCACTTATAGTGCCATCTCTCTTGTATGCTACAGCACAGATACCGCAACATCCACCCCAGACCAATTTATACTCCACCTTGGTTGTTGGAGATGCGTGGGCAGGATAAAAACACGACGACTTCGGGGATCGAATCTCGGCCGCCTACGTGAAAGGCCTGAGTGTTAACCACTTATTATTAAAACCTCTCCTTTCTTTCGTGTGAATGAAGCTGAAGCACAAATGGACCTGGACATTTCCATTGACCAGTTAAATTTTACCTTTGTTACTTTTTTAATAAATAACACCTACAATGTATTGTTATACGACATGCGATATTTACACAGTTTATTATTTGAATTATCGCGGACAATGACAAATCTGTGTGCCCTTAAAACGTGTACTATTAAACAAACAACGTACAATTTAATAGTGTAGTATTATTTAAAATACTGTACAATTTAACAAACAATGTACCATTAAACTAACAGTGTACCATTAATCCAACAGTGTACCATTAAACAAACTTTTTACCATTAAAATCACAGTTTACTATTAACAGTGTTCCTTTAAAAAACAGTTTACCATTAAACAAACAGTGTACTGTTAAACAAACTGTTTTCCATTTAACAATCGGTGTACCATTAAACAACCAGTGTAATGTGAAACAAACAGTGTACCATGAAACAAACAGTGTACCATGAAACAAACAGTGTACCATTAAACAAACAGTGTACTTTTAAACAAACAGTTTACCAATGAATAGTGTCCATTAAACAAACAGTGTATCATCAAAAAAACAGTGAACGATTAAACAAGCTGTTTTCTATTTAACAATCGGTGTACCATTAAACAACCAGTGTAATGTGAAACAAACAGTGTACCATGAAACAAACAGTGTACCATTAAACAAACAGTGTACCATTAAACAAACAGTGTACTTTTAAACAAACAGTTTACCAATGAATAGTGTCCATTAAACAAACAGTGTATCATCAAAAAAACAGTGAACGATTAAACAAACTGTTTTCTATTAAACAAACGGTGTACCATTAAACAAACAGTGTACCGTGAACCAAACAATGTACGATTAAACAACTAGTGCACATTAAACAAACAGTGCACATTAAACAACATTGTACTTTCAAACAAACAGTGTACCATTGAATAGTGTACTATTAAACAAACAGTGTATCATTAAACAAACAGTGTACGATTAAACCAACTGTTTTCCATTAAACAAACGGTGTACTATTACACAAGTAGTGTACCTTGAAACAAACAATATACGATTAAACAAACTGTTTTCCATTAAACAAACAGTGCACATTAAACAAACAGTGTACAAATAAACAAACAGTGTACCATTAAACAAACAGTGTACGATTAAACAAACTGTTTTCCATTAAACAAACGGTGTACTATTACACAAATAGTGTACCTTGAAACAATGTACGATTAAACAAACTGTTTTTCATTAAACAAACAACAGTGTACCATTAAACAAACAGTATACGATTAAACAAACTGCTTTCCATTAAACAAACAGTGTACCATTAAACAAACGGTGTACCGTGAAACAAACGGAGTACCATTAAACAAACAGTGTACCGTGAAACAAACAGTGTGCCATTAAACAAACAGTGCACATTAAACAAACAGTGTACAATTAAACAAATAGTGTACAAATAAACAAATAGTGTACACACACAGTGTATCATGAAACAAACAGTGTACAAATAAACAAACACTGTACCATTAAACAAACAGTGTACCATTAAACAAACAGTGTACAATTAAACAAATAGTGTACCATTAAACAAACAGTGTACCATTTAACAAACAGCGTACAATTAAACAAATAGTGTACCATTAAACAAATAGTGTACCATGAAACAAATAGTGTACGATTCAACAAATAGTGTACTATTAAAGAAACAGTGTACCATTTAACAAGCAGTGTACAATTAAACAACTAGTGTACCATTAAAGAAACAGTGTACCATTAAACAAACAGTGCACATTAAAAAAACAGTGTACCGTGAAACAAACAGTGTACCATTAAACAAACAGTGTACCATTTAACAAACAGTGTACAATTAAACAAATAGTGTACCATTAAACAAACAGTGTACATTAAACAAAAAGTGTACAAATAAACAAATAGTGTACAATTTAACAAACAGTGTACAATTAAACAAATAGTGTACCATTAAACAAACAGTGTACCATGAAACAAACAGTGCACATTAAACAAACAGTGTACCATGAAACAAACAGTGCACATTAAACAAACAGTGTACCATTGAATAGTGTACCATTAAACAAACAGTGCATCATTAAACAAACAGTGTACGATTAAAAACGGTGTACCATTAAACACAAACAGTGTACCCTGAAACAAACAATGTACGATTAAACAAACTGTTTTCCATTAAACAAACAGTGTACCATTAAACAAACAGTGTACAATTAAACAAACAGTGTACAATACAAAAAAACACTGTTCCATTTAACAAACAATTTCCTATTTAACAAACGATGTAACATTAAACACACAGTTCACCATTTAACAAACAGTGTACCATTTAACAAACAGTGTACCATACATCAAACACAGTTCCATTAAACAAACAGTGTACTTTTCTATTGTGTCAAATTAAAAACAGTGCAAGAGAGTTGACATTTTTCCATATGATTTAATCTGTCCTGTGTAAACCAGATGGGAAGATAAGGTAGGAGAAGATTTGTAAACAGGGATTTGTTTTGATTTCTACTTTCTGAAATCATTGAGAAATCTGATAATAAAAAAATCAAAATAAACTCTAATTTATTGATCTTAAAACTTCAAAAACGTAATCACAAAAAAACATATAATAGTACATTATTTTAGGATCAAGCAGGTTTATCGTGTATATTCTCAGATATTAATATGTTTTCTAATAAATATTTAACGTACAAATAGTTGTGCTCTAGTGCACTACACAAGAATTTATTGTGTATGGTCCTGCAATGCTTCTCGAGTTTTTGCAAAAAAAGTCAAATCAAATTTCAACCTCTGTCTGAGAAATACACTTTAGCATGTAGATTGAATGCTGCAATTTTTAAGATATGGAAAGTATACCGCAAAAAAAACAGATTCCATTGTTAAGTTGACTGTTCTTTTGACAGCGACAAACGTTTCTTAATTATCCTTTTACAAGCATTCATTAATCTTTTACAAGTGACAGATATGTCCTGCATATACACCGTGTTATCCTGATAAGTTAACAATGCTTTCAACAATATGATTTGTGTCACCTTTTTATAACTTGGAGATGTCTCATACCGCATAACATTGGCGCGATCTACATAAAATGTTATGTAGATTTAGAAAAGTCATTAATCGTAAGAAGATCAATCTTTTTGCATATTTTGTATTTGTTACGCTACAGTGAATTGATAAACCTTTTAATTTTATTTTATTTGATAAATAAATATGTTCGAAATACTGTTATTAAGGAAAGTGAGTTTGATATCTAACAATTTCCTTTATAAAACTTATCACTTTACATTAAGTCGACTTTATTCACAAATATATATATATTACATTTTTCAACGAAATCAGTCTTTTGATGTTTACGTGTATTGGCTAGTGTCATTAGCGATATATGAATATAAATTTATGAAAACAGAAGACTATCACGATATCCAATATTTGTAAGACACTTTAAAGACTTCTAAGAATGGAAACATAATGTTGTCTTATTTTCAAACCGATCTGCTTTTTCATCGAAACGGAACGAGAACGCTGCATACAAAGTCGTAAGTATTTTACACAATACTATATAGAAACTTTATGTAAGACACTTCACAGCTGTCTGCGTGTAGAGACAGAAAGTTGTCCAAGGAGATGGACCGAACTACTAAAACGAAAGCAATCTACACAATACAATTCTAAAATGTTCCGTTAGACACTTCACAGATATATTTGAGTGGGGACAGAAACTTGTCCCAGACGGAACAATTCCTTCACACAAAAACAACAGCAATCTTCAAAAATACAATACTGAAATATTATTCATGATATTCTTGTAAGCAAACTTGCATAATCCCTTTTACATCGTTTCAAATACAATGACGTTTTTGACAAATTGTTCAATAGCAAGTTTTATCCCTAACACTTCCAGGGGCAGCCAAGACTGCTAAAGGGTGTCTTACCTGCAGGAAAACAATAAGCTATTTCATTAAGAATGATTCCTTTCAAACCTACGTCTGTTTTTATCTGTGACGATTGAATGATAGCTTGATGCCGAGTGGGTGGTTTGTCCTTAGTTGTTTCCTCCAGTATCGCTCTTTTGTCCATCCTCGATACTCCAGGGGTTACACTCACGTACGTTCTCTGCAACCCTGGACTATGTCATGACAAAATTGAAGACTCAGTGTTTGCCACCTTGTTCATTTGATGCACATCAAAATAATCTCGCGGTCGCGTAACGGTAACACTGACTGGCTGTGAAGTCGGGGGTCGCTCCTATGTAATCGTCAAAGGACAGGTATCAGCCTAGCGATTGGTCAGTGTTTTTTATGTACCCGTGACCGATTAGATAACTAGCCTCGTTCCTTCAATGTTGCTATGACATATTCCAGGGATGCAGAGAGCGTAAGTGAGCGTAACCCCCTAGAGTAT